GAAGGACATGAATGTCACTCTCTGAATGATCAATCAACCAATCACGTATCTTAATGCATCAAGCACAGCTTCATATCCAGCTGACGTAGAGACAACATTGATTCTTCACTGAGGTCTGAGTGTGCACAGGTGATCCCTGTGGATGCACCAAGCATAGGTCAGTCAAAACCAGAGGTGGGACCAAGTCATTGTTTTGCAAGTCACAAGTAAGTCTCAAGTCTTTATCCTCAAGTCACAAGTAAGTCTCAAGTCTTTATCCTCAAGTCACAAGTCAAGTCTCAAGTCACTGGTGTAAAAGTCCAAGTTTCTCAACACATGACAAAATAGTGAACTTAGAAAATATACACAAATTGTGAAATTGCACCTCTATAAAATGCAGCTCAATTAAACTCCAAGAATAATTTTCACCGACAGTTCTGAGAGAAGCTGCATGTTATTCTTGGATGCGCTGGTAGGACTGGCTTTAAAATCGCATGACAAAAATATCATACACATTAAAAAAACTGTATCACCAACGGAGCCTGGACAACATTTGCTAGTTAGATGAAGTCATGATCTCATCGTAGCAAAAGAAAACCCACCGTTCTTTATGCAACTTCAACTGTCGGACAAAGTTGAAGCTGTTCCATCTGTCTGTGATTCTCTTCTTGCATGTTTTGCATGTTGCATTTTGGTTTTTGTTGACTACTTCATAGTTTATGTACCTCAAAAAAAATAACATTTTTGAGTGTTTTTTTTTTCTTTTTTAAAAAAATCTGGTTAATTTGATTGGCTGTGCTACACTCACGCACTCATACGTACGGAGTGTGGTTTGAATAAATGAATGAATGAATTGAATTAATGGTGCACACTTTCTATATAATATGTGTGTAAAATTTTATATTTGAGGTGAAATATCAAGTCTTTTCAAGTAAACCGGTTCAAGTCCAATTCAAGTCCCAGGTCATTGGTGTAAAAGTCCAAGTCAAGTCACAAGTCTTAGAACATTTTTTCAAGTCAAGTTTAAAGTCATAAAATTAATGACTCGAGTCCACACCTCTGGTCAAAACTCCTGTGTGGAGTCCAGGGGAAATATGGAGGAACATGAACACAGAAAGTCCCCATTAAAATGGGTTCAAAATAATGATAAATAAAGAAAAAAATAATGATAAATAAAGAAAAAAATAATGATAAATAAAGAAAAAAATAATGATAAATAAAGAAAAAAGCAGGTGTTACTAATGCTTGTCTTCACAGGAGCAAACAAAGGCATGTAGGAAAATATTCAAATATTATTTTCCTGCAAAATCCCTCAAATTCTTTTTGTTATAATCCCTAAAAATGATTGTTATAAATAATACATTGAGTTGGTGACTGGATTTTCAGCTTTTCTGCTCCATGTTTGAAGCTTGAGGACAGAATAAGAGTATAAATGGTAAAATGGTAAATGGCCTGTATTTGTATAGCGCTTTACTTAGTTCCTAAGGACTCCAAAGCGCTTTACACATCCAGTCATCCTCACATCCACACATTCACACACTGGTGATGGCAGCTACATTGTAGCCACAGCCACCCTGGGGCGCACTGACAGAGGCGAGGCTGCCGGACACTGGCGCCACCGGGCCCTCTGACCAAGAATAAGAGTAACTTGCTAACAGGATGTAAGGTGCATCTTTTTAACAAATACATTCAAATCGTTGATTCGAAATCTCAAATATAAATATAAAATATATAAAATTTTTTACTTCTTTTAGTGAAATCATGGATTGATCATGTCCTTTAGATATTAAGATGCTACAATAACATGTAGTGGACATTTTAATGAGATGTTAAGAGCTTAAATCAGGTATAGAAGTGAGAGCTACACTTCCATCACTGAACGTCATCACGACACTTAAACAGCAGCTTACCCAGTTTCTCAGCGTCCCCATGCTCAGCAAAGCTGGACACTAGCTGCTCGTCCGGAGGGAAGCACACATGCTTTCCTCCTTTACTTCTCTTTGATTTCATTCTGGGCTGTCCTGAGCTGTCGTCGTTCTGCTCATCATCACTGCGGTTGGTCATCGCCTGGCTTTACTTTAGGACAGCAGCATGGAGCGCTCTATGGTAACAGAAGGCCAATGGTTAGTCAGGATGGGAACTCCAGCGCCGGTCACGTTACATGCTATCATGGAGCTGTGACAGCAGCTACCGAAGTTCTTCTGGTGACATAAAAGAGTGAAGTGGTGACGATGTGCCCTCGTGAATGTGAAACGTCTTCAGTCTGTGGCGACACTGAAGAACCAATATCTTATTCATGAGCTGTGCACTGTTACCCAATATGTTTGGATCAAATGACACACTGAAAACAGGTAAGGCTCTGCACATTTACATACTTATTCATTTACACAATCCAGGGCTGTTCTGGGTAAGGCAAACACAGGTAAGTTACCAAGGTAACCACGTTCGATCAAATATTCTTAGTTATCCAAATACTTTGGTTGAGTTTCCCACTGAAGTGTCTGTCTCTGCAAGCTGTCTGATAATGTTGAAAAAGACCGAATAAAACAGACAAAATACAGAAGCAGCAGTTTGTGGAGACAGTTCAGAGGCAACAGTGTATCACAGCCAACCTGACACAACGCACTGCAACACGTCGTCTCTGCAGCAGCCCCCACAAAGCTTCTCTAATGATGGTTTTTCAAGGGTTACAGTTACAAGAATGAACTTTTCATTGGAGTCATTTGTTTCTTACAGAGAACATTTCTTAGAAACACACAAGTCTATTGATAGCTCTAGTTATTGTGCTAAGAAGTGTAAAATGTGACAGAGCACAACTGTAGAACAGGCCAACTACAATGACCTCACCCTAAACACCAACAAAACAAGAACGATGCCCCCCCCCTCTCCATAAATGTGGAGAGGGTATCCTCTATTAAGTTCCTCGGCACCCACATATCTGAGGACCTATCTTGGACCACAAACACATCAGCCCTGGTGAAGAAAGCCCAGCAGCGCCTCCACTTCTTGAGGGTTCAGAGATGGTAGAGGCTGCAGTCTGACCTCCCAGTGTCCTACTGTGCCACCGGTGTGGTACACTGGCTGCACAACAGACAAGAAGAGACTACAGAGGGTCATAAGAACTGTAGAGAAGGTGATTGGCTGTACACTCTCCTACCTGCACTTAATTCCCAGCTCAAGATGTCTCTCCAGAGCCAGAGCGATTATAAAGGACCACCTTCATCCTAACCACCACCTCTTCAACATCCTGCCCTCTGTATTCAGATCCATCAGGGGCAAAACCAACAGACTAAAGAACAGCATCTTCCCGGGAAGGGACCGGTCCCCTCCAACTACCGACCAATAACCTGCCTCAGCACCATGCGGAAGCTCCTGTCAGGCATCATAGCGGCTAAGATGAGCAGACACATGTGTCAATACATGAGTGGGGCACATAAAGGGATGGGCAAGAATACCAGAGGAGCAAAACACCAGCTATTGGTAGACCGAGCAGTCAGACAAGGCTGCAAGACCAGGCTGACCAACCTGTGCACTGCCTGGATTAATTACAAGAAGGCCTATGACTCAATGCCCCACACCTGGATCCTGGAAGGCCCAGACCTACACAACATCAACAGGACCCTGAGAGCCTTCATCAGGAACTCAGTGGGGATGTGACAACACTAGAGGCCAACTTCAAGCTCATAGCAGTTAGGACTGCTGCACTTCTCCACACAGGGCAGTAGCAGCACTAGCAGCAGTAGCAGCACTAGCAGCAGTAGCTTCTTCAGCCTGTGAGCACTTGTTACTAGTTGTTACTGTTACTACTGTTGATGATGCAGCAGCCACGACAGATAACAAGTCGCTTAATTAGACACATTTTGCTGCATCTTTTTGTAATTTTCTCTTAGCTTTTTAGTGCCACCTTTTCATTTCTGTTTGTTCATCATCATCACCCACTTCTTCCACAGTAAACGCTGCTATACAGGCACATGATGAAAGTAGGGGAGAGGTATTAAGACTTTTGATTGGGCAATACAGTGACAATAGTGAAATTAATGAATGCTCTTCTTAACCTGGAAAATATGACTTTCCCTTCTGTTTCTCTCAGGTGCCTTGCTGTGATGAAGCAGTACTGGTGTAGCTGGATGGGTGGTAAACACAACATTATGGTGCTGGAGACAACAGCATATTTATTTAATCACTTAGGTGTAAATATACACAATCTGAACTATGACTGTGTTTTACTCTAATATATTTGCACTGCCTACAAACTGGGAGGTGAAGATGTTTTCATTATTATAAAGACAAAACGTGATTTTGGATGACCTTTTACTGACTTCAGCAATCACACAACTCATGGTTCTACACCTCAGGGAGTTACTGACTGCAGAGTGTTGCGCACAAGTCCTAACATTAAATGTTGTTGTTTTTTACAAAATTAAATAAATTTACAGAATCAAACACAGATTTGGACTTAACTAAATAGCACAATAGGACACATTAGTCCATGGTCTGATAATAAAACAATAAAAGTAATAACACAGCTCTGATAGTTGATCACGTACTGAAGACCTGCCCCAAGGAGGATGAGCAGAAGATAATAGATGATGGTTCCACATTAAAATTCTGTAAACTTTCTGCTTTATATTTACAGGACAGTCTGAGCTGTCGATCATATTTATTTATTAGCACTGAGCCCACAGGAGTCATGTTGGCAGATTTCATGCACTGCAGCAGAAATGCAGAAAATAGAGTTGCTGTTGCACTTTTTCTTATATTAAGACATGTTTAAAATACATTCACATCTTTCATATATTGAGATATCCCGGGGGTTAAATGTGTATTTAGACTTCTTCACACTAACAGAAAGGACATCGCTGTTTACACAGTAGTGAAGCAGCGACTTCCCCCAATAAAATAGCGCGGTACGACGACGTCACTTCCTGACCGGTAGTTTTGCGGGAAGTTTGGTCCATGTACAGTTTCTCCTACAGGGAAGCATAAACAACGAAGCGACGGTATGTTTCTGTCATACACGTATATATGTGGACGCTAGCGGAACCAATCACAGCGACTCGGGAGCGTTAGCTGTCGGACAGCGTCATGTAGCAGCTCGTGTAGGCGCTAATGTGACACACGGTTACCCACAGAACCGCGCAGTTAGCATGAGAGCTAACGAGCCTCGAAAGAACAACTCGAGGTGCAGATTCGCACGACGCCATCACTGTTTCTCTTTCTGCTGGTTTGAACACACATGCTAACAGGCGGCTCGTGTTGGGGAAACGTCTCGTATAGGCTGCACACATTAGCAGGTGATGGGGAGCTCAGGATGTGGTTAGCTAACTTCCGTACAGATAAAAACAGGTTCTAATGTGACCCGGACACGTTTCCATTTCTTGTTGTGTTTACAACGATGTTTAGTTTTATGTTGGAGCTTCCATCACGATGGAGCAGCACTAACGACCACCGCGGCTGTGTGTGTGTGTTAGATGCCCCCTAAAGCCAAGGCGGCAGGCAGAGGCAGAGCCCCCGCCAAGAGGAAGCTGGCGGAGGAGTTTCCTCCTGGAGAAGTGCTGAAGGACACCATGAAGAAGGAATGGAAGCTGGGGGCTCCGATCGGTCAGGGGGGCTTTGGGGTCATATACTTGGGTAAGAACACGGGGTGCCAGTGACACACAGTCATGGTGAAATGAAAGACAATGTTATTTGTATTTTAGTTCTAGTTAACATCCGAGTTTGAGCTGCAAACTTTATATTGAATAAAAGATAATAAAGATTTTAAGCACGTGTCAACCAAATACTGTAAATAATGAACATATTCCCTCTCATGTTTTCCCCAGCCGAGGAAAATTCTGCAAATCCCGTGGGTGCTGATGCTCGCTATGTCATCAAAGTGGTAGGACTCAGTTTGTTCCAGTCCAGGCATTATTACTCTTCATACTTTTGTCTTTACTCACAGAAAAGTAGCTACAAAAGCCAACTCAACTTTTGTATTTTATGACATATCAATTTCTATTCTATAACACTTTAGTTAAGCCCATCAAGAGTTAAGACTTAATTGGCAACATAAGTTCATTGGATTAAGTCCAGAAATAACTCACATACTGACAGGACTTGTTTGACTTGTTTGACTTGCTTTTCTGCTCTAATGTGCAGACTCATCAGACTCATCAGTCTCTCCCATTTGACTCTCTGAGATTTATTTGTTCACTAACTGCAGTGATGCAGCCAGCACAGCCTTGACCCTGGACCTGTCAGATGGCTCTGTCCAGTTGCTGGTCACTAAAGTGTCACGAGAAGTGATCACAGTGCAAATGTTGCAGCCAATAAGGCGCTTTCTGCACTGTGACCATTTCCCTGTTTCTGTCCTTAAGGAGGAGAAACGGGGAGAAAAAGCCTGGGGACGCCACATTACCCAAGATCTGAACTGAAAATCAGTGGCAACGTTTGAGGGAGCGATGAATCCAAATTTTACGTTTTTGGTTCAAATCAATGTCGAGATGTGAGGAGAGACAACCAGTTTTGCAGTTTTGTTTGTTTGTTTTTTAAATGTCTAAACAGAAGAGAAGGAACCGGCCTGCCGTGCTGTGAGCTGTACTCTGAATTGTTTCTTTTTTTCTGCCTGTGACGGCTGAAAACACAAAGCCAGTGTGCTGTTGTGGGTCTGCAGACCTAACGTACCTGTTGATCTGTCCACAGGAGCCTATTGACAATGGACCGCTTTTCTGCGAGCTCGCATTTTACATGAGAGCTGCGAAGCCGGATCTCAGTGAGTCACATGATCAGACACTATAAACACACACATACTGCCAGCGAGCCAAAGTTAGCCCTGCGATCATAACACAAGAGTCTCAGCAGCAGGGCAAACAAATAAAAAGAGAGGCAAGTTTCTTAATTAAAAGATGGTGTTGCAGCCGAGGCTCAGAGGAGCCCTACAAAGGAAAGGAAGCGTTTGGTGGCAGCGCCGCCGGCCCTCGGGCCACCGCTTTGCATTTTATATAATAACAATCCAAATGTCAGTCTCCCCTGACGATTAACTGTTATATGACTAAGGAACCAAAGCCTCATATTTTATTCATGCTGCAGTTTCACGTTGTTGGTAAATATTTGTCCCAGCAGCAGATTAACTCGCGGCCATATTGGCCACTTTCCCCCACTGATTTCTACTCTTATTACTTTGAGTCTCACATCCATCACCCACTTAAACCAGCACCAGGCTTTTCACAGAGTTTACTTCCTGTGTTGTTGATTTCATGATTACTCAAACGTGTCTGATAAGTTTGCTCCTGCCCTGCAGTTCAGAGTTGGATGAAGTCCAAGAAGCTGAAGAACCTGGGCGTGCCCCGGTACTGGGGCTCAGGTCGGCATGAGAGAGGGGGTCAAAGGTAAGGGTGCTGGGGACGAGTCTCAGTTTGTAATGAAGCCGCCCGTCTCTCCTCCGTCTATGTGACATTCAGTCGTTCAGGTTCTTCTTTTGTTGACGTGTGAGAAACGTGTCCAAACTACAGACTCAGCAGTTTGGTGCCAGCAGCTCGAGCTGTGCATCAACTCTGTTTGACTCCGTGATGTTTGCATGTTGCACACTGGATGGAGTCACATACACACACACACATGATTACTGCGATCAGAGCTTGTGTTTTCCCTGCCCAGCTCAGGTCTCTGCCTTCTGTAGCAGACCTCTGATTCATTCAGTTACTTTGGCACCGCCTGATACCATGTAGTGGATCTCAGTCGTAGCACTTGTTACTGGTTTCATAAGGGCCCAGTGGCCTAATAAGGCATCAGCGTTGGTCCCGCCTGGGTCACATAGTTAGCACTATCCTCAGCCCCTCCATCACCTCTCCTGACCTCCTCTGTGCACTTACAGTAACTCAGATATTTAAGCTAATCTCCCTGTTTACACCTTTTCAACTCAATTTTTAATATTTTATTATTTTTTTACTGTGTTAATGTCTTGAAAGCTCGATGAAAGAAAACACCAAATGAGAAGTGAAACAGCTGCGTTCTGCTCACAGTAACAGGTAAAGCTTTATGACGCTCTGCTAACAAAGCTCTCTGTACCAACAGTTACAGGTTCATGGTCATCGACAGACTTGGCACAGACCTGCAGAAGAAGTTTGAGGAATGCGGAAGGAGATTTCCCAGAAAGCTGGTCCTGCAGCTCGGCCTTCGACTGGTTGGTTTTGTCACGATGAAGTTTCAGTTTGACACACTTACGCTGTAAACAGCAGGTCATAGCCAACATCCTGAGGATGAACACAAACTGGAAATAACTGATGATGAGGGTCAGATATCGAGTGGTTCCATCCTCAGAGTTAGTGATGCACAGGAAATGGGTTTTCCCAAAAAGACACAAAAGTGTATTTTCAGTTGTGTTAATGATTGTAGGTCAGAAGCATTCTCATCCTGGAATGATTGTTTCTGCTTTTAGAGTGAGCTGCTGAAACTGTAATCTGACGCCGCTTTAGGAAACACAAACGTCATCAGCAGGTTTCCTGCACCTGTGCTTCCGATCGAAAATCCTTTGTTGGCCTGAAAATACCAACAATGAAGTAATTTGTTTACACAGTCCAGTAAGATTTGTCACAATGACACTGGACAGACTGTAAGAGTCATTTTCCTTGTAGGAAACCCCACGCTTCTCTTATAGCAGCGCGTCTCCCGTTCGCTCTAGTTTATTAAGATCTATGTGGAGGAAGTGAAACTTTGACTCACCTCTGTGCTCTCTGGAGCTCAGCGCGGCTACGTTCCCCTCTAAACACGACAAACTGAACGTAATGAGTCGAGTTACTGCTGATAAAATCCCTGTGATGTGGTCACAGGTTTGGCTTCACGTGACGGCTGCTCAGTGAGGTGATGACGGGCTGAGCAGCTTCTCGTGTGGCCAAACTGCACATATTTAAACCATGTAGTGTGATTACTTTGTACTAGGGTCTTGCTACATTACAGATGTATCTGTACTCTGTATTTGATGGAGTATTTGTTCCTGTGCAGCTGGATACTCTGGAGTACATCCACGAGCACGAGTACGTGCACGCCGATGTGAAGGCGTCTAACCTCATGTTGAGTCACAGCGATCCAAACCAGGTCAGTTGGAGTTCCAGCGTGCCGACTGAAACTGTGACAGTTTACAAAGTGCGGCTGTGACCCGTGCATCGGCAGGGGGAGGAGCCTGGTTTTGGTTGGAACACACTCGCACCGCTTCATTAGATTCAATTAGGCTTTTGTGACGGGGGGAGGTGAAGCGGGAGTGTTCAGACGGGGGAGATTAGATGGCAGGAGCACAGAGCTGCAAATAAGGTGGGGGCAGGGGCAAATATTTAATTTGGAGATTAATAATGTATCATCGGTGGTGTTATTAAGGAGCTTTTTATAAATGACAATTTAGAAATCAGCCCCTCAGGATTTTAATATTGGCTCTGGTTGTTTTTCCTGCTCTTCCTCAGAGTTGGTGGATGTAGGTTTGCTGTTATTGCTCTTTATTAAAGCCACAGAGAATATAAGCACAATGCAAACGGAGGAATAATAAAGTGCGATGGAGCTGGAATTAGAATTGAAATTCTCCCGTCTGTGTACAGTCGGTGAACACTGCTAAAACATGGATTAGTACTGTGTGTGTGTGTGTGCATGCCTGAATCTTTGTGTTTGTCAACTGTAGGTTTACTTAGTAGATTATGGACTGGCCTATAGGTACGCACCTGAAGGTCTGCCCAAGGAGTACAAGGAAGACCCCAGGAAATGCCACGATGGTACCATCGAGTTCACGAGCATCGACTGCCACAAAGGAGCATGTAGGTGCAAACGCACGCGGCCCCACATTCACCCAGAGACCGAAACAGTACCCATGTGTGTTTTGCTGTACAGTCAGAGCACTTTAACTCGGCAGCTAGACTGACTCACCGTTGGCGCCACAGTCCTGAGTGTGCTCAGCCACAGCGTTGTTGCTCCAGTTTGCCAAAGAACAAGACTGGTGCTGATTGGTGTTCCTCATCTCGTACAACATGGAAATAACCTGGATGCTATTATGTACATAAGTGTCTGATATTGCTAATGTTGCTATGTACGCCATGTTTGCTAACAGCCGCGTCCAGGCGCAGCGACCTGGAGATCCTGTCCTACTGCATGGTCCAGTGGCTGTGTGGGCGGCTGCCCTGGGAGGACAAGCTGCAGGACCCGCTGTACGTCAGAGACGCCAAGATCCGGTATGTGAAACACGCAGCCTGGGCGCTCCAGTCAGCCACACTTTGCCATTTATACAACTCGACAATCCGTTTTATTTTTTACACATTTGTTTTGTGTTGTACAGTTCACACAGATTGATGTGTATTAAAGAAAGTTGTAACGTTTTCACCTCCAGGAGTCAAGAAAACATAACCGAGTTCATGGCCAAGTGTTTCTCCTCTCAAGACAAACCAGGTGAGACTCACAGCGGCGGCCTGTGGCGGCGATGGACCAGCGCTGAGCTGGTCACACTGACGTGCCTCACCGTGTTATTACTGTAGACGTTTGTACACTTGTCACATCATGAATGCTAATGTTTTGATCTGGTTGTGAAAACCACAAAGCCCTGCATAATCCCACAGTCTGAAACTGTGTGACCTCAAATCAAGTTCATGATTAGTCGAACATTTTACCTTTCCATTATTTTAAGTGTTTAAGGAGTTTAAGTTGTGTTGTCAGCTGTGATCAGCACTGTTAGTGTTCTTTGATAAGGTGTGTGTGTTACAGCAGCATCATTAGTAAAGTGAATTGATTTCGTCCGTTCCTGGCTGCTCTCATGTGTTTCTAACATGATGTAAGTCCTGCCTTTGAGCAGTGACCACCTGACCTCTCACTGGGAGAGAAGTACAGGCCACACGCTGCGGCAGGAAACGGCAACATTGTTGCCCGACTGTGCTAAAAGTTGCCTTTTAATGTTGGTGCTTTAATTGGAAGGCAGCATGTCGGTTCAGAGGAGACGTCGCACCTCCGTCCTTCTGCTGTGTGTGTGTGTGTGTGTGTGAGTGACAAAGTGGAGGAGCAGTTGCTCTCCATTTGTCCCATATGTGTTTACCTTTCTTTGCACATTATTCTGTTTCTATGTATTTGCTATGATTTGCTATTTGTCAGTAACATGGCTGCACTCACTCTCCCGGGTTTGTTTGTGGAAGCGTTTTGTTGCAAATCAAACATTCTGCAAATTAAGCTGAATACTCAGTTACATGTTTCTTTATATTTTATTATGTTACACATTAAGTCATTCGTTCATACTTTGTCTTTTCAGTCGTCATGAGGGTCAGGTGTGGGGAAACGCCCGCCTGGGGCCCGCCTCATTTTAAAGTCCTGCTGATGTCACATATGACATCAGCAGGTCAAACCAAGTGGAGGGGTTTCTGTTTCCATAGAGATGCTTCCTTTTGTTTGTGTTAAGGTTTAGAGGGATTTGTTGAGTGTTTTTCCCTTTGTTAATACTGCCATTTAGTTGTGTAAATGTGCGTGTTAGAAGTGTGTAGAGGTTTTGTGTTTTTGGATAATCTGTGTACAGTTTTAGATCCCTCAGTTGAGTGAGTGGTACTGTCTGGGCAATTGGAGGGAAATTGATGCCTATTTAAAGCCAGTCTCTACCAGAGAGAGGTGAGCTGTGTCACCAGAGCCATGCTATGTTGAGTTTTGTTGACTGAATTGATTTGGGGGGAAGTTTTGTTAAGTTACATTAAATTAAGTTCACTGTAAATAAATTGCTCACCTTGGAAACCTGAAACGTCCGCACAGTCTGCTTCTCTACCACCTTCGTTGACGTTCGAGTCTGACTACTTCAGTGTGTGTGCGCCAAGTCTGAAGAAAGTCCCACCACACAACATTTAGCCTGACGTTGACATCTGACTGCAACACACTGTGGTGACAACAGTGTGTGTGTGGGGGGGAAGCTTGTGTTTAAGTTCTGTCTTTGTTTATGAAGCGTTGGATGAAAAGAACATGGATGACCTGATGGTTTCGAACGAGCAAGAAGGTGTGAGGGTTCTGATGAACGGGCTTCTCGTTGTGTTGCAGACGAGATCCAGCGCTTCATGGAGGAGGTGAAATCTCTGGGCTACACAGCCAAACCACCGTACGACAAGCTGCGCTCGATCCTGCAGGCTGGGCTGAAGACCAGCGGCGCTAAAGAGGACGGCAAGCTGGAGTTCACCTCTGTCAATGGAGCAGCGGCGCCTCCCAAGGTCAGCGCTCCTACTTGTTTCAAGAGGGAAGCGAGAAAATGCAGTATTTGAGATGGAGACTGTGGGGGGGTACAACTCTGACTTACCGTCGAATTATTTTCCTCATTTAACTGTCGCTTCATCATAATTCTTTCTAACTTTGTTTGGTGATGACAGGAGTAACTGTCCCATGGTTTCAGGCATCATTGGTGTCCAGTTCATATCTATGAACTGTATAATATGTAGTTGTTTTGTATCCTCCGCATTGACTCACCCACCAGTTCACTTCTCGGTGAGTGTCCATCCTCCAGCTGTCTTTATGGTCGACGGGTTAGTGTGTAGGCTCATATATACGACACATTTGATGTCCACTCCAGGGACTGCTCACAGTCCCCTCTGCCAACACCTCGGGGTCGCCTGTCTTTTCAGATTGTTGTGGTCATAGGGGCGTGTCCAGAATGAAGCGATGCCACTCGGGCTCCATGGTGCTGGGTAGTGATCACAAGGCCTGCTAGAGGATGTTCTCTTAGTGCTCATTGTGTTCCTCCTCGCACAAAGAAACAGATACTGTTCCTGCTGATGGGTTACGGACCCCCCAGGGGGGTTATGGCTGTGCTGGGCGGCACGGCGAACCTGGCCGTGGCCGGACTGGCTCTGAAACCAGGCATCTCCTCATGCGATTGCTTTGGGAGTTGTCTCGTTGTTGCCCCTCACCTGTTGTTAATTTCATTAACAGCAAAGCAGCTGAACTGAACTCATTAACGTTGCTGTGTTTGCCTCAGCTGATAACAAGTTTCCCTTCATGTGTCTGTAGACGCCGTCTTTGACTGTGTCAGTGTTGGACTGTGTGTCAGTGTTGGAC